GTGAAACGAGCGGGAGGAGCGATTTCACGGAAATAGAGTTGCTGCTTTCGGGGTAAGATGGAAGGGGGGAGAAGGGGCAAGGGGATCGAGGATGGAGAGAAAAGAGAAAAAGGGGGCCACAGAGAGAAGAAGAGAACTGAGCGCAACTCAGGTAGATGCTAATGGGAGCCCATTGTTTTTTCTCCTCTGTTTTCCCCGGACTGCGCATTGTTCTTGCAACGGGTCCAGCTCTGCTCATCAGTTAACATTGTCCGCGTATTAGATCGGCCTTGTTCCAAATTCGAGTTGCGGTCGCGCGACCTCCTGTCTCCGAAGAATGCGATGTTTGCGCGCACTGTCCGCTCGACAAACAGAGCAAAAGCAAAGAGAGAACGTGAGAAGGAGAGGCTGAGACAAAGGTGGCGAACGGGTGAGAAGCTGCTGCCGCTGCTGCTGCTGTCTGGACTGGTGTAAACGAGCCTCTCGGGTGGCGAACGCGTCCAAGACGACGGGGCTACGAGATACTTTCTCGTTTAGTTTACCTCTACCTCTGTCGTTTGCTCGACCGAACGATCCGGGGACCAGTCTCATAGAGCAAACAGAGGGATCCTTTACGAACGCAAGGAAACAAGTATGCCTTGGTCGATGAAGTATGCCTGAACCTGACGGAGCATCTCCACCGGCGGAATTGTCTCGAACGATCGTTCCTTGAGTCGATACTAGGACCCCCTTTCCTTTTCTCAGGTTATCCCTGATTGGCCAAGGAAAACACGGTGCGATATGACCAACTACGAGAGATACTCCGAAGCGACCTTGGAGATTGGCCACGGAAGATGGTAGTTGGCCACGAAGGGTGTCTTTAGCGATGCAACGCGAACAAACCCCTGGCAAATGGACAGGAGGAGGTGCCGATATCTGGAGTATAATTTATCACGGTGCATAGACCGAGAGAAAGAGAGACGGGGCGCAGAGCGACTAGAAAAGTTGCCCTGGACCCAGCGCATGGGACCCAGCGTCTTGGTGGAACGCGAAATAGAGAGAGGAGAAACGCCGAGAGAATCGAGCAAGTTGCTCGGACCCAGCCCTCATTACCACGCCCCCAGACTTCCTAGTCATTATCTGGTGGTCCCAATAGCGAGATCGAATTTCATCACGGATTCCAGAACGGGCATTCCACCGCGATAATTGGCCTTCTCTACGACCGCCCGTCCACGTGAGCTGCTCGCCATCTTTCCTCCGGACATTTCCCATTTTTTCCTCTTTATCCGACGGATCGTTTAGCAACAAATTCGCGACTCGATCGTTAACCGATGATTATGCACCGACAAGGTATACAACTGGTGTATAACTCGTTTGGCTCACGAGTCGGGAGAAGAAGGAAAGGGAACCGCGAACGAGAACGACGAGTGGCACGAGGCGACGCGACACCGGCTAAGGATCATCCGACGAGGATTCGTTTCGCGGAAAAGCGAAGAATGAAAAATGAAAGGGTACCGACCACGGATACGCGCAACGTGAAAACGGGACAAAGCCGCCGGGAGGAGCAAAGCAAACTGAACGGTTCCACTTGGGGGCTGGATGTAAATAATTAAACAGGTCCGGCGAAAACAAATATATCGTTTCGCGCAGTGTGATAGATGATGTTGCTTATTCAGCGTCCTGGATGAGGAGAAAGGTGTGGTAGACGAGGAGAAAGAGAAAGATCGCAGTGACCCGAAGGATAGGAGAAGAACGGAGAGGTTCGGGCCTCGGTAGGCTTTTAGGACGTTAGCTGGACCGAGGAGAGGGTTCAAGGGCGTGCTGGACGTTTCGAGGGAAGGATGGCGAGGCAATTAGGGAACTCAGCAGGGTGCCAAAATCTTTGCCCTCTTCCTCCTCCCTCCTTCTTCGTTAAACCTCCTCCTACGCCTTTACTCTTGCCCTTCTCTCTCTCCCCCTCTCTCTCTCTCTCTTCTCTCTGATCTTCGCAACCCTCCCGCCGTTCTTACCCGCCTCCTCTTCCTCCCGCTGCTTTTCTATTTCTCTTTCTTCATTTTTTCTCTTTTAATTCGAATCTATCTCGATGCATTCTTCTTCCTCCTTTCGACCGAATCGGGAAGCACACGTACTTCCCAGCCACCCTTCGATCCTCCATCGTAAAATCTTGACCTCCCCTACGCCGCGACATCGGTGCAAACATCCTCGAAACGAGACGAATAGTTTCCAAGCATTCGTAATATTCGACACGTTTGATCATTCAAGATCGTCGAACATCGCTACCATTACAAATTATGCCCATGTCCCTGCCATGTAATAGACAAACGCAAACAGTTCCGCTATCGAAGATTTCTGCCGTTCAATCCCGATTCTTTCGATGTACCAAACGTTTGCTATTCGCTGAAACGTCTTTGTCCCTTGTCATTTGAATATTCGTAATCGGTTTAATTCCGTTCCATTGATCAATCTGGTAAATATGCGACACTAGCAGTCCTGGTGGTGTTTTCGAGAAGCACTGATCAAAGTCGGTAAGATAGAGAGATACGGTTACCGTCAATAGCTGAATCATTGTAGGAATCTGCAGAGGATAGCTATGCGGATAAGCAAGCAGTTACTAAAATTGTTACTGTCACCTGTTTTTCAGCGACATGGGCAAAGTCAATCGTACCATTTGATAGCGAAGAAAGAAACGAGATCGAAGTTTGCCAATGTAACGGAGGGATATCTCATCTGTGGAATAATTCTGTACCCTGGTTCTGTAAACAGCAACCTTACCGACCAATGTGAAGCAACCTTATTAGCGGATGGTAAATCGGTGATGCGTACTCTGCAATATCGATTGTTCGAAAGAAGAAAGTATCGCTCCCTACCTTGCCGATAATGTACCCAATCCCCCAAAGGTATAGTAGGCGAGGTATACGAAAGATTCAACGTTACGCGATTTTCGTAGCTAAACTTGAACTGCCTTACCGACCTAATAATGTGAAACTGTGCGTAACGCGAGAAAAGTTTATAAATTATTACACGTATTGTTAATAACAAATTAACGTTGCTATTAACAAATTGTTCGCAACGTATATTTATGGTAAAAATGAAAAGATGAATAAATTATCGGCTATGCGTGCGGAAAATATTTGCTCCAAGCTAAATTAAATGCTTCGATCTTTCACTTTACTATGTGAATAATTTTCATAACACGACGAATAAAAGAACGAATCTTTTTCTAAATAAATTTTTTCCATAAAAGCAATACGATCATATCGTAGACTACGATACTTATAAATAATAACCGCGTATTTAGTTAATTAATAATGCATCCCTGTTGATTGGCAAATCGTAAAAGTTACATCGATATAGCCATGACAGATACCCTTTCTGTTTACGTTTCCCTGACAACGTTTTACAAGCAAACTGTCTTTGAAACCTCCCTGAATTTGTGATCAACCTACAGCAACGATTTCGGCGTAGATTTCTGTGCTAAAAGCGCAATTGTAACGTAATAATCATTCATCAAAGTGAAGCTATCGAAGGGAAGATGACTACCAGAACGGATATATGCCGAACGTGTAATCGTGGACCTCATTCCTATAATATACCGTCTAGGCACGCGGATAAAAGGGAGATGTATACTTTCGTCAAGAGTCCACGAGCAATTTTGCATATCCAGAAGAAATATAGGAATCCACCCACGTAAGTTCTCGTAAAATTTCGAAAAGTTGTAGCAAATGCGAACAAGTCGATTACAAAATCATTGAAAGATCATGGTCAAGCGTCAAGGAATCAAATTATCTTTCTTTCACCTCTTCTCATTTATAAATCTTACCTTCTCGAGTTATTCTGATCTTTCTAGTCTTTATTATCTTTCTTTCACCTCTTCTCATTTATAAATCTTACCTTCTCGAGTTATTCTGATCTTTCTTATTCTGATCACGTGCGATATAATACAGAAAACTAGTACTACAATCGTCTATGTTCGTCGCTATTCGAACTGGTTATTCTACCGCTAATCAATTTCAATGCACAGACTGCGGGAAAAACAGCCAGGAAAAGGGTAACCGCGTGGTTTCTGCATAACATAGGAGAACTAGAACGCTGTAACGAAGATATCGTATACAAATTCTAGGTATATCTGCGACACGCAAGTTTTTGCTACCGTAGAAAGAGAAGGAAAAACACGTATCCGCTATACAGCATCGGAGGGTGTTACTCTTCAAGGATAACCGCAGTATGCTAATCAAGTGTAGAAGTGTCACAATCTTCGCTCGACCTCGTGACAAACGTTTCGGGGATTTTTGCGTATCGTGAAAGAAAGATAACGCAACAACGTCGATAATCGATCGTACGAAACAGCGTGACTGGAAGGAACGTAGGCCAGAAGCTAAGTAGACGGTGAAACGCAAGCACGCTGTTTGAACGAAAGGGTTAATCTTAGGTGAGGAAACGGATACGATGGTAAGGAAAACGCGAATGGGAAAGGTTCACGTTTCTTCGCGTTCCTTCACATCCTCGTTCACCTTGAAAATGTTCGCGGATGGAGTGACGAGGTTGAGGACAAATGCTGGTCGGAGCTGTGCAAAACACCGACAGACATACGTGGTCATAGTTACCACCGATTTCGAACCCCTTTAGCATGACTTAGGCATGCGCAAAGTTCACGATGGTCAACGTTATTGAGTGGCCGCTGGGTAAAAATATACGTGTAGCATGTCTACGGTGTATGTCGGTCGATTCTAAGGACATTGTCCAGTCTGTGAACTCGCTCGTGCATTTACGGGACTGCTAGTAATGCCGTGACTACCGTGTAAGCGCTCTCGTCATCTTTCTTCTCGAGCTATCTTCTTCGAACCGAGTTATCGGTCCCCATTTGCCACCGGTCTAAGAAAGATAAGAGAAAAGGGAAAAGGGAAAAGAGAAAAGAGAAAAGAGAAAAACGAAATAGAAAGCAAAGAAAGAGAGAGAAAGAGAGTCAAACATTGACAGCGTGTTCTGTGAGAGAAAAATGTGCGGTAAAATTGATCGCGAAAGCTACTGAAGCAGCCGACAATATGCCAGCTGAAATTTCCTCGTTGGCGCCAACTCTCAACGGTGACCTGTTCGACCTCGAAAAGAAGAATCCTCCAGCGTTCACCATTCTGCAGAAGGATGGACTGGACAGCAATGTGCCGCTTCTTCGGCTAAACAACAGCAGCGAGACGAGTCGATCGGAAATCGATGGTTTCGAAAATGTGAAGAATAAGCTGCTCGATCGGAAACGGATCAGCAGATCGAACGATCATCTGATCCAAGCGAATTTGCAATCGAATCAGGTGAATCCATTGAAGCGAGAAACACGAAGCAGAAGTCAAGACAGCGCACGATCGGCGGACAAGGTACCGACAATTAAGCCTAGTATGACCTTGTCCACCGAAGACTTCAACGAAGTTCTAAACGCGAAGCTAAAGAAGCTGCAGGAGCATGAGAAAGAGAAGGAGAAGCAACGTAAAAGCGCGAAGAAGAGTCACGTGCCTCGGAAGAAACCGTTCGTCACGACTGTGAAAACCGGGGAATTTTTGATGCCGCCGCCGGAAGTGGCCACCCTCCTCGGCATCGCGACCAACACCAACGACAACGATTGCATCGACAATTGTCCACTGCGATCAAAGTTCAAAACGCTCGCGTCGTTAGCTAAGAAGCCGGAAGTACGTCATAGCAGCCACATTGCAAGGTGCCCGGCTGCCCTCAAGGCCACCGTCGATTTCACCCTCGGAATGATGAACGCGACGACCATGGCTGCTACGACCTTGGACGACAAAGCGAAGCTCGCCAAGAGAAACGACGCGACGTAAGTTTGCCAAAATTTTGGGAAACTTATTCGCTGCGTTTTTTCTTGCCTAATGGAAATCGACAGGGATGTTTAGAAAAAGAGAGAGAGAGAGAGAGAGAGAGAGGAAAAAATAGAAATAAAGAAAGAGAAACGTGTTAGATAGGAGCGGAGAGATTAGAAATCGTTTCGTTGCGTGTATGGAAAAGTTGCTGACAATTACCGAGTGCGATTGCGTGCACTCGGACTGTAAGTCCGTTTTTATATACGCTCATAGTGTTCTACGTACGTGTGTGTACAATTTAAAGCACACCCTGATATATAATTCATCGACGCTTGCCCAAGATTTCCAAACTTACCTCACGAAATATGTAAGGTACCTTCCTTTCCTCCCTTTACAGCGATCAACCGATTCCTTTTGGGAATATTATGTTTGACCGCCGCGTTGTCCGGGGGAGCACATACGCCACTCCACCTATCCTTGTGAGTAACGAATCGAACGTAATCTCGTGGCAACGCGTATGGAAAAATAATTGCACGTTTACCTCAGATCGATGGAGAACAGTCGATAACGTCGAGGCAAGCAGAAGCAAGAAGGAGGAATTTGGCGAGGAAACGAGCTCAAGCACTGGCCACTAAAGCTTTGGTCGCTAGAGCAGGTTCACCACCGGCGGTTCCTGGTCGCAAACACGAACCGGTGCAAACGGAGGTTTATCTCGAAGAGGTAGGCAGCGTTTTCCCAACCCCCCCGGCGATTTCCTCTTTTCCTAGCATAAATCATATTTCACAGCTATTCGAGAAACCAGACGAAACCGATGTCGCCACGCAGACCGACTATTTCTTGGACAGGCCCCCGACACCGACGTATTGCCCGAAAAAGATTGGCGAAGACGCCAGCACGCAAATCGAGCCTGGCGACGTAAGTTCGAGAAAATTGTCGCGAAACTTCCGTTGGAAGTTTTGTTTCCAGGATACCTCTTGCTTTTAGCTCTTCGACTTTGACTTCGAAGTGCAACCTATATTGGAGGTACTCGTTGGGAAGACAATGGAGCAGGCATTGATGGAAGTTCTCGAAGAGGAAGAGATCGCCGCTTTGAAGGAACAGCAAAGGAAGTTCTTGGAACTACGCGCTGCGGAAAGAGCCGAGGCGCGAAGACTGGAGGAACAGGAAAGGAGAATAAGGGAAGAAAAGGTTTGCTCGTTGTTTGATTTACTTGTACGTAGAATTTCATTCGACCGAGCATCGTTGCCCGAATATGGGAAATGTTCCATAGGATCAACGATTAAGACAATACGAGGATGCGATGATAGCTCGAAAGGAAACAGAGGAACGAGTAGCAGCGACCACACTTTTAACCGGATATATAGCTGAACTTCTTCCAGCGGTACTAGAAGGATTGAAAATGTCCGGGTTCCTGTTGGACGAGATCAAGGCTGGTTCGTGAACACGCAAGAACACTGCTACTTTTTGTGAATTAGTTAGTCAGAAAGGTTTATTAATTTTTATTTATTTACGTGCTTTAATCGATAATCAAAGAAAGACACTCGTCTTCTCGTTCTGTCTCGTTTTCCCGTGCGATTTAAATAGAATGTAAGTCGTAAAGATCACCGACGTTTATATTCGCAGATGTCGAAGAAGGTTTCATGCCCTGGTTGATGAAAGAAGTTAAGAAAGAAATGAGCCACATGATCGAGAGCAGAGAATTACTTATGGGTAAATATCATCGATCTGATACTACTAATCGTCGTAAGTTAGTCAGTGAAGTTGAACGATCTCAGAAGCTCGAAGACGTTTAGCTTCCATCGATACTTAACGTGGTATGATTTCTACGTAACCCACCATGTGATTCGAGATTTATAGGGATGTCAATAATAACCTAGGATAGATATCTCGTACGTATTCCCGTAGCGTTAGTAACGTTTCTATTCAATAAGACCTCGGAAAATGGTGCGGAAAAAGGCGTTCTATATTGCCCATTGTTACCTCGCATGACCGTAAGTGTCAGGTATAATTGTCGAGAAAATCTTGGCCTGCTGCCAGAACGTCGCAGCTATTAAAATTTCAATTGTTACCTTAAACCGATCATAAATAATTTTATTCGCAAAACACGTTCGTTACAAATTTGTCCGCTCACGTATCATTTCGCAGATATCGTGAGGGAAATTTTGGAGGACCGCGCCGAAACGTACAGGAAACTCGGGGAAGAGTACGATGCCTCCAGAAGAAGAAAACCATCGATGGATCACATGGAGGATGGAGGCAGTGATCCAAATTTCGTAAATTACCAACCACCTGCTATCGAGAATTTGGATGTTATTTAGTGACCAGCCGTTCTTGTACGTAAAGTTAACAAGATGGGCTGCCGATATCGTATTTAACACGTAACGAATCGTTATCGGGCAATTGTCGTCTCATCGAGGCACGCGATTTCTCTTCCATTCGGAGGCTCGTTTGCCGAGGCTTTAACGCTCCTTGATCTTCGAACGGAGAAACGAGCATATCATAGTTAGCTTTCGGATTTAGGGACACCTTCACCAGCACCGAACCAATCCCTATCCCAGTGGCTTCTACATTAAGCAGTGTACACAGCTGCGAAACAAATCCATCTCCTCTGGTTGCGCCCTATGACAGGTCACCGCCGCGTTTTCGATCCCCATCGCAAATACCAACTACCACAACCGTGTTCCACAAAAATCCATCGGAAACTAATTACCCATTTTCCGACCTCCGCTGTATCGCATACTCGACGACAATTTTATTTTTACCCATTATTAATCCGGCTACTCGAAAGAACAACCGTCCTGGATTTAATAATTCCTGTTTTCCAGGTTCGTCCCAAGGCGGGGAAGAGCAACGAATGGATCGAGAGGACCGATTGAAATTCAGAGCAGAACTTTCTGAGCGATAAAAGCGCTTCGTGAAAGATTCGTAACGATAATAGTTTCATGAAAAGTATTGCAAGTGATACAAATAAACAGAACGTCTACTCATATCCGAATCTCTTCTCCCTTCTCCCGACCTAACTTTCACAAACTTCTCGCGCGATTTAGGAAAAATCGAAATCGAGATATTTGTAGTCCTCCCGTTTCTTTTTATCTTTTATACACGGAAGCGCAGCTGTGGAGACAAATCGTTAAGTCGAAAATACGAACGTCGCTAAAACCGTCGAGCGTAATTTTACCTCTCCCTCCGTCTGTTATTCCAGATTACACAGCCAAATCGTGTTACAGGAAAAACTCGAATGCAACGTAAAATCCGACTCTTCCCTCGCACGATTACAAATAATCCGTATGCGGAATACATTGTGAAAGTTTATCGGATAAACGAAAATATTCTCAAGACCAAGAGATAATTGAGAAAAAAAAAAAAAAAACGTGAAAGGCGCGTCCCTATTAGCGTTAGGTAGAAATAGAAATAGAAGCGAAGGAAAAAAAGAAATAAATTTTCGAATAGGAAAGAAAAAAGAATGCTCTGGCGACAGTAGGATTAACAGTCATGTCTGGCGCCTCTCGGCACCTGTCCCCTGCAATTTGGCTTCCTACTTATTAGATTACTTAGGACCGTGCCTACCTGTCTTTCAAAAGGGTACGCGGAAATTCGTCGAAAAATGTTAACAATTATCAGGTATACAATCGATACCGCCAAATTGCTTTCCCTGTGATATTGCAATTATGCGCGTGCGCGTAAGCACGTACGCACGTACAATTTATTGGTATTCGAGGGAAGACGGGAAAACGAAAAGAATGCAGGGATTAAAAAAGAAATTCAATGCCGTTCTCTGAGAATGAGATAAGACTCGTCGGTAGACCGCGGAAATGAAAACCTGTCGGGCTCGATCAAGATTAGATCGATCATAATAGGATGAGGTTTCACGGTGAATTGAGATCGGCACAGTTTTAAAAAGCCACCCACCCTCTTAAACCACACATCCCTTTCGGCGATGAACGACAAAGTGAGGGGGGCCATATTGTATTGGATTAAATTAAGCGCGGGCAGAGGGAGGGAGGGACTCGTCTCGATACCGTGCATTATATGCACAAAACTTGTGTGCCAAGTGAGTCGTGTTTTTAGGGAGATTCAAGAAGGGAGTACCACCGTGGGGTTTGATCGGACATAGGGGATTCTACGTTATTTCACCATGTGACCCATGCCACCTGCATTTTTACGCGATTCTTTCTGTCTGCCAATTCGCGGAACACCTTCGTCGCAAAACCAAGTGTCGATTGATCGTGAGATGAAACGAGACCTTCGGGTAAAAGCGATGTATTAATTAACGTCGACGAATAAGTAAATAGAATGGAGATATCTTTCGAACAGGGATGATGTTGATCATTGAAAAATTTCGTACCGCGATGCGGTTGGACATTGCGTATTTGCCCGCGGTAACTCACCGAAAATGAATTGACTCTTAAAATCAAGTAAACAATGTCTAATGGTGTATAATGATTAAATAGGGACTCGAGCACGGGGTGTGGAATCCTCTATAATGGTGTTACGGGGTATTCGACCGGCACGTGTCGTCTTACAGGGCACACTCGGCATCGAGTGACACGAGCAATATGTCGACGACACGCGACCAAAGCAATAAAATTGGAACTCCAACATATCGTAGCATGCCATCACACGTACTCGTTATTAATTAAACGTTACTTTCCCATTAAATCCACGGCTAGAACCCGATCAGTAATCGCGACGATTTCTGGCAAATATTAACAACGCGTGAGCCGTATCTCGTTGGGAGAGATATTAGGAGCCTACTTTTGACACTTGCAGAACCGAGACGAATCACCTTTATGGTCACCTCCCCGCAGAACCAACCATAATTCAGCCTTCACCCTGCAGCATCAACGTGGTTAGGTTATATAGAATCTCGTAAAAGGGCATCGAACAATAAGATTTGTTACGTCTCTGCGCGTCGAAGGGGTCCACGATCGTTGCTTTCGATGCTACTTAAAACCTAAAGACCAAAGACTCGCGCATCACCCTATGGGGCATTGAAATTTATGCATAAACACTTGCGACCTAACGATAGAATAATATAGAAGCTTCTAAAGGAAATTAGGACATCGCGTATCAAAGATACGATTGTACGAATAGATACCTGAGAAAGTCGTAATTGAAATTTTATCACGAGACATGGCGAGAAACGTACGAAACGTTCGAGCCATCATCTCGAACTTGTCGCAAAGTCTCTTTACGAAGAATAATATTATCGAAACGAATGATTGCAAGCAACGGCATACGCGCACAAGGAAAAAAGGGGCTGTGTACCTTACTGGCTTATTTTGAGCATCGCACACGGGGGACGGGCGATAATACGTAGATGATAATCGCGATATTAATATCGCATTGGGAAGCGCGCACATGCGTGCAAGGGCCCATTGGTCACGGAGGAACACTTGCTCGCTGGCTGGCTCGCGGTTCTTTCAATGCACCCTGATTTTAGAAAGAGACAACGAGAGGGTGGAACCCCAAATTCGGATAAGGGCAGAAACTAAAATTTATCTAGACAAACTAACCGAACGGGACATTATCACCGAAATGAAAAATGGCCGTAATTTCTACACCTTGCATCCGATGCATTTTACCGTACCAGGTGATCCTCTTCTTCCGAAAGAAAATTAAAAGAAAGTATGAAGCTTCGGTAGAGAAGAAATTTTGGACGCGTCAAGTTTCGTGGTGGCTGATCTAGTTAGAGAAACAAAGAATACCGATTAATAAATTAGGGGAAGTAATTTTAGAATATGCGTTCATGCTTACGTTTACTATGCGCAGGGTTGTACAAGAACCTCCGAAAACACTTGCCGCAACTCGTGCTCGAGTTTCGAGGGACCAGGAGAGGGGTTGGTACAAGGGATGGTGCAGCTTGTGAACACTCGTGTCATTCCCTGGTCCGGCACCATTCACCCTAGATGAATCACTTCACCCATAGAGAAGGTCCACCAAGAAGGAGTCGTACCCTTCTTCTGGTTCTCCTTTCTTCCTCCTAACAAATGCCTTATAATCTCGATAATCTTTACTTTGGTTGCGTTAATTCGTTTCGCGAAAGTGACACGAAAATGAGAATAAAATGTGCTTTTAACCAGTTTGCTCGTGGAAACGTTTGTTTGCCAAATGTTAATGCAGCCTAAATGCAGCATTCGGGAAAGGTTAAGCAGTAAATACCGATGGTTTATCGCGAGTGACCAGCTCGGTTCTTACCGGAAACCAAATTACCGTAATGACACTGAAAGTATTTCTAGCAGAATTAGATAAAGATCGATGTATTAACTCGAAGCAATGTAACTGACCGAATAGTCAATCCGACTGGGTATTAATACCGAAGATACCTGTAAGCTACGTAACTACGAACACGACGGACCAGAGATTAAGCGGCTCATTAGGCTCCAAAGATATTTTTCAATTTTCGCGATTGTTCCAGGTTAAAATCCGAACCGAAGTTACACTCGCCGAGACGGACTATTGTCTGCTGTAATGATGGCCGTGCGTTAAGTCACGTACTTACGTGCATAAATTATTATCAACTGCATCAAAGCCCGCGTACGGAGAACGAGCAGAGTACACCGAATATACTCGACAGTTTTGCAAAACAATTCATCGTCCGAGATAAATCAAAATCGGGATTCCCGTAGGTTGTTAGTTGGCGGGGAGGACATCAAGATCGGAGAACGATTAGGCAAATCCAAGCGGTATCGCTCGATCATGATCTACGCACGCGTGCGAGAAGAATGAGCCACTTAATTTCCTAATCAACCGTTGATTCAGATGCACCTTTCGACAGCACCCCAACCACGGGATGGAAGCTGCGTTGGTTTGCAGCTGAGCCAAACAATGTCCTTTCACATGAGGCTTTTATAGCCCCATCAAACACCCAGTCACCGCCGGCTCCTGGTGACGGCTGCACGACCTGTGCGTGTCACGTGCCCGTGGTCTCCGTGATCACGATTGAACAAAATTCGACGATCTTCGCGATCGCGAAGAAGATGTACGTATCGAAAGAGTAAAGAGAGAAAAGGAGACGGAACATTCGATGTCCGATTTTTTTACAGGTCGTAACGTGGCGATTAACAAAACTGTACCAGCGCAAGCGAAAATTTCTTAGGATGACATTTTATCGTTACGAAGAAGATAATTAAACGACGTATCGGTATGCGAAAAGAATTAAACGAATTTTCTGCTGCTACGTGATGCAAAACACCTGTACCCTTCGAAAAGGTCGTTACGCTCCGGTGATTACGAAAAATATCCTACCTATAGGCACTAAACGACTTGAATAGATCAGACAATCCGGCGCCAGTCGTGGCTAGTTTGAATGATCAAGGAGACCACTGTCGTGGAATTTTACAATTCATACCCTAACCGATACTCGAAGTGGTCACGCATCCGTGACTCCCCTCTTGTACCTGCAACGACAAGTTCAATTAGTAGCACCTCCGGTAATTCGTTGAAACTTTATTATCCTAAGAGTCTCGAGATTGAGACGGTAACCGGTGAAGGTAGTAAAATAATTCAGGCTCAGCGTCGCGACGTTCCGGAAGACTAACTTTTAACTGTAACTGCCTAATGGAAATCGCTGCCCAATTTCGCAGAATTATGAAAATTAACGTATTAATCCGTGAACAACAGACTGGTAGAAATCACGTACAAGAAATTGATCAAGTTTATTTAAGCCTATGTATCGCATACAGTTAATCAACGAACCGACGATTTTTCTAATCCCGAATTTTCATCCTCTCCAATATGAAAGGACAAATCATAATATCCTCGTTAACAATTGCTTTATTTACTTTCATTTTGCGAGAAATTGAACTTTTTCTTTTTTGTATAAATATAGATGATACATTTAAATCGACAACGTCGGAATATTGATCTGCTTTGTATAATAATTTATTAACGATATATTATAATGTATCCTTTTTATGAGAAAACGGCGAGTTGAATAAATAAACAAAAATGCAATGCAAAAATATTAAGTTAGGACAATATTATTTGACTACCCGTCTCGATCTTAAGAATCTTATTTGAAATTTAAAATAAAAGATTTTTTTATCCTCAAACAAAAAAACTCAAGCCAATTAAATAATGAAAACAACATTGATTGTTGTTTTTGAAATTTGTCAAGAACAACACAGATTGAAATAATGTCGAGAACAACGACAATAACAATGACAATAGTTTCAATATTCGAATAGACGTTAGCTCATCGAATTTAGTTTATTACTAAATTTTCTAGCAAACGGTGAGATAAAAAATAAATTCAAGTTTGCCAAGGTGATGCACCTTGCATCCGGCTCTAAGATAAAAGTCCCCGAAAATCCCTCCTAGTTAACCAGAGTTAACCACACCCACGTCCATACCCACACCCCTAATGATTGGTAGCGCACCAAGATTCGCGAATCGCAGGCACTGGGGCCGATTTACCCTTGGCCAGCTCTTTAAATACAATTACACGTACACTAGCTGTGGAAAAGCTGGGGTATAGAGACCGTGGAGGGGAGCAACTATCTAACCCCCTAGTAGTCAATTCGGGGCACAAGCCCTCCGAATATATTTAAGCCACGTGCGGAATACAGGTCGTACTCAGTTGACACCTCGACATCGTGTTACAATCATCGAGAAATCTGAACACCCACGGCTTCATCATTGACAATTTTATCAGAGTTCGGAAACTTTAATGAATCTTTGAAAATCAACGGTTCATTATCGATCAAAGTGAAGCAAGATATTCCTTAATCGAATTAAAAGTTTCGTGATTCTCGAGCAAAGGAACGAGAAACGTAAAAAATAGCACGAAGAAAAAGAGGAATTGGTATCGTTGGTATGATCGTGAGAATTTGACACAGACCGCGCAAAGTAAATTATAACATTCGAAGTGAAACAGTTAAAGTGCGCGAATGGAATCGACTAGTACGATCATGTATCCTATGATCACTGAGAATGCTCTGATGATGAGCATCGAAGCATTCGAGAGGTCATCTTTGTCCCAAGGATGTTTAGACAGGCCTATAGTCAGGGCTGCGGGGCTTCTTGGGAGAGACTCCTCGACAGAGGTGATCGATGTTAACAAACTGTCCCAGAAAAGTACATCGGTAATTCAATACGTACGTATATGAAATACAATTTCTAATATGTTCTAATATGTAATACGTAGAATAGGAAAATGAAACGCACAAATTACCTAAACTCGATCAATTACAGGTTGAAGTCGCTGATACAGAAGGTCGTCTGTATTGCGTGGATGGCCTAGTGAGCACGCCATGCTGGTTAAAAATTGTCACGCTTGCAAATGATTGTCAAAGTTGCAACGTTCTTCTAATGACGACCGACAAAGGTGTGATACTGAAAACGATAAGAAACATAACTCCAGGTGAACCGCTACTTATGTGGTTTACCGAAAATATTCTGGCTATGCTGAATATGCCATTTCTGACACCGTCCAATATTCAAGGTAAAACACTGATCATAAACAGCGTAGAGTAAAAGAAGTGCATTGTTAGTGCTAAATCGTACATACGAAGGATAAAGATACTTACATGTACGCGATATTGTAAGATTTTAACGTAATAAGACGTGTATATCGATTTCAGGTCAGAATCGCTACATTTGTCACATATGCAACAACCTGTTCGAGTACCCAAATCCTTTGAAGATCCATTTAGCTCTAAAGTGCAATCGACTGGACACTAATCATCTTTGGTCCGGACTAGCAAAAGAGTTCAGTTCGTCGCCGAGACCAAGCTTGTCTCTTAGTCTCTTCCCCCAGTCGACTTTCAAATTCAAACTGACCAGATCATCGCAAGATTCGCCTACCAGCATATCGCCGATCTTAGTGGACACTATGGATAATAACGTTCCCCTTACAAATAATAATTCGCCCGAGTCTTCGGATCAGCCCTCTCCGTCCTCTTCGAATCCGCTTTCCCCTAATTCCTCGTCCACGCAAATCTCGCCGAACTCGTCGACGCAAGTGTCTCCTGTGAGGAAAGATATACCTTATCGACAATCTGCCTTCAAACCATACGCGAATCAAAGCAACATCTTCGCCAACGTTTGTCCATTGACGAGGGACGAGACCGTTTTACCGCCGTACAACGTTCAGACGACGACAGCACCGATCAGTACCGATGTCCATGCCGCCCAAATGGAAACGATAGTGAGCAATCTCGGGAAATCGAAACAAGGACACCTTTGTATCTACTGTGGGAAAGTTTACTCGAGAAAATATGGTCTGAAAATTCACATCAGGTCAGAGTTCCAAACTTCCCTATCACAACTTATTCTCAGAGACTTCTATTCTCAGCTTATTCGTGAAAATGCCAATTCTCTTGTTAAAGAAATTATTCTCTTGTCTATATCTATCGGATCTATATCCACCTCTATCTATAACGAATTTCGAGTAAATTCATCGCGAGAAAAGTCATGGGAACAGATTAAAAGTGTATTTTCTTTGCAGGACCCACACCGGTTATAAACCATTGAAATGCAAGTATTGTCTACGACCGTTCGGAGATCCTAGCAATTTGAATAAGCACGTTCGATTGCACGCGGATGGAGAAACACCATACAGATGCGAATTATGCGGGAAAGTTCTGGTCAGAAGGAGAGACCTTGAAAGGCATCTAAGGTCGAGACACCAGGAAAATGTGGACCAAGCTTCTGATACCTCGTCCGATGGAATCGACGTTTGATTAGGGCGAGCAGAAAATATTATTACTGATACAAAATAAACGGACTTATGAAACGCTAATGTGAGACAACTGTTTCGTTTCGTTTACTTTGTACCAGTGAACAAGATTGTCCTCGATATCAAGGACAATTTGTTCGTAATCATAAACGAAGTCGTCCGTGTGGACGAACATCGTTTATCTTGTAAATGTTCAGAATCAGCTAATAGACGAATTGGTTTCCATACGATAAACACTTTTGTGATCAAAATGTCAATTAATTTTGTAAGATTCGAAACGAGACTGTAAATATTTAGTTAAGATAGGATAGCGAATAGATAACATAAGATGGCGAATGTTACAGACAACGTGCAAGTATATTTAAGCATCCGAAATATTTTATTACGATATTTTCCTCGATACCCTTACGAGTTGTAAATATCGATTTCTTCGCAATATTTCTAATCTCACGAAATCTTGAATTTCACGGAAAAGAACGAACGGAAAAGCTTACAGCCGAGCTGCAACTGTTAATCGTCCATTCAATTATCATTCGATATAGTATATATAAACATTAACCAAAACGCACAATTCTACGCTTTTTGATCTTAAGAATAAAACTCTTGTTATCCTAGTATGTACCTAAAAATATTAAAGTAAATCTGTTATTTTGTACTTACTAACTAGTAAATTGCTCTTACCTCTCATCGTTATACCTTACAATTGAAACTTGACATACGCATTAAACCACAATACTTGCTTTAGCGTCAATCTATTAATTTCTTTATTTGATACATGTATCGAGCGGCAGTGCCTGTTTTAATATCCCTTTCATCTATCAACGAGTTATTACTGGATCTTTAAATAAAAGATAATCACTTCGATTTATATTTTTGTCATAGAATTTCTATGCAATATCTTTTACAATTGCAATGCAAAACTGGATCTTTAGGCCACATACTTATATAATTTTCGTAAAGAATTTATCGTTAATTTGTTAATTATTAATTATTGTTGTAATTATTGGTACTATGTTTTAAACTCGTACTACACTATCGATAACACGGTTCGACAAATTTTAACTTCTCTAATCTGTAGTATCCAATAGATGATTCGCGTGGAGTTTACTTTTCTCAACACAAATCCACAATCGAAATTGCTCTACCACTCTCAGTTTTCTAAAAACGCACGATTTTTGGCTATAATGAAGTAATACATAAAAAGTAAGGTTAGGAGGTTCGTCATTGTCTTACAAGTTAGATGAGAGTATTTCGGGTTTATCAGTGTCCATAATTATAATTATTTGTGCCTCTGAATTACTATAATATGAATAATTTTCTAACATAAAATTGTCAAAAAATAAATTCCACCTAATTTTTAAGATAAAAATGAATATTCAAATGTTTTTACTTTTTTTGTTTAATACTTCGTTTCAGTCAAAAATACAGAGGAAATAAAAATATTTTGACATACGTATGCATATCATGGAAATTTATGTTGCGCAAGTCTGAATGCAGTTATAGTTTATAAAAAATGTATAAGTTATCAAATTTATTATTAATAACAAATTGTTTGCAATGTAAATTTATAATAAAAGTGACGAAATTAATAAATTATTGGCTATGAGAGCAGAAAATTAATAATTAATATAATCGATGAAGTTCAAAAATTTCTGATCGGGGTGGGGAGCTCGGCCGATCGAAGGCTATATAAAGGGCGACGCGACGCAGCATAAGTTATTTGTCCGTTCGACTTCGGAAGTGCAACATCTAAATTTTATTGTGCGCGAGGGATAGGGGTCCGAAATGAGGTTGGGGGGGGGGCTAGCCACCCCACCCTCATCCCACCTCATTAAACCAGTTACTAATTTTTGTTTTGTTTTCAGGTATTAATAATTTTATTTTTGTCTTCAGGTGCTAATTATTTTATTTTTTTCAGATTTTAATAATTTTTTACTTTTTCAGCTTTTGTTTGGTTTCTATTTATTTTTATTTGACCATTCGAATATTTCCTATAATATTGGAATGTCTAATCGTTAGGTTTTTCATTTTTCATCGTTGGATTGTTTATTTCATTTGGTTGACTATTGTGGTTTATATTTGTTTTGCTTTTATTTTGTTTTACTAATCACTTACTAACCTATTAATTTTTAACTTTCCAGATTCTTCAAGACATCGTTGGACGACGTGGACTAGACATGCGTTTAGACCTATGTAGTTATAAATAGCTGTAAGTTAGATTCCTACACTAAGTCAAATGTGCGCGCTATCCGTTCAAAGGTAAGCCACCTAACTTGGAGCGAAATATATCAATTCTCTATCCTCCTCTTATCCCTCTCGTTACCAAATAGAACATAATTGTTCTCGCGATAATCGCGATTGTTCTTAAGTACCGACTAGCCTACGCACGTACTACCCGTGTACTCGTCAGCTTCACGCCTCGTAAGTCATTCTCACGACACGTCTCCGACACCCATTTCTGCCACTGTCAATCTCGTCATGCATCGATATCTCTAGTGGCTCTCGGACTGGGGAGGCATCTGGTGCAACACGAGGGTCCGTCGACCTTAGTCGTCCTGGGCGCCAATCCGCGCGCACGACCGGGGGATGGGCCCTGCAGTCGGAATCATTGCAAGAGCGTGCCTGCCTGCCCCTCTGGCACTTGGCGGCTATGTGGTTATGTTTGCATAGAGCCGGGGTATGGAGCATGCGCATGATTCCGACTGTTAGGCCTCGCATACGACCCTCGGATTGACTCTGGGTGTTTCCCTGGTTCGTTGGCTGCCTTAGGTCGTCGAGTAAGCCATGGCGAGGTCGGCGGTGGCAGGGTGGACAAGGCCCGATCGGGAGGGTGCTGTGACTGGAGTTGTCTTGTGCACGGGAGTGCGTCGCGTAGGCTAGTCGGTCTTTCGAATAATCGCGAACTCGTTCGGGCGCTTGGCGATTTTTCACTTGCTCGCGACTTTCATAGTTCATTCCCTTTATCAAAAATAATATATCTTAGCGTTGCGACAATAAAGTTGTAGTATACCGACTCGAAACCCCTTTTGTAAGACACGAAATAAAATAAAGTGTCAGTAGAGTCATTTTAATTTAGTTCGCTCCAAGTTAGATTAGGCTACCTTTGATACGAATAGCACCAATAGGTTGCGCCACTAGGGCGTATGTCCGGGTCTCGATGCGTGGCCACCTCCACTTAGTGAGACCTGGTAATTGGTATCGTTTTCTAAAGAAAAATCTTTGGAAACGATACCAAGCTAAGAGCTACGCACCAGTTGAAGTATTGGATATAAGCTAGTTTAAAGTTAGTTATAAGTTAGTTATTAGTTGGTTATAAATTAGTCATTAGTTAATTATAAATTAGCAGTTAGTTAAAATACGAGGGTAAAATAAGTGCGTTATGATGTCAGCGAGTCACTCGTCAGAGTGTCAGATGAGGGAGTCAATTGCTACGAAATTTGTATTCCTAGAATTATTGACAAATGATATGAATTTTCTAAATACACCATGTTGTAACAACCCAATTGTATTGAAATTGTCTGTAATGTTCAAAATCATTGTATGCCCAAGCATAAATATTTCAAAGTATGAAAAATAAATTTTAAATATAAAAAGAGTAGTATCAATTTTTTTTCCGTCCTATTAAAAATTACAGTTACAGAAATTACAGTTAATCCTGCATAAACTACATATCTTCCATCAATCTTTTTATATAAAATTTACTTTCTATC